GTTTGCAATTCCTCCAACTAATACTAACCCTAAATATCTAAAACAATATTTTGAATCTATCCTCAAATCATGATATATGTAGATCAACTTACAAAATTATTCAGAAAAGATGATGAAATTTTGCTTCAAAAGGTTAGAAATTTATTATGAAAAAAATTAGATATAAAAGAGAATATAATAAATAATTTGTCAATTATGTTCCATTTAAATAAAAGATTGATTACATCTAGTTATTGTTATACCACCTTGCAATTCCATTTAAAGTAGTAATAATATCTCCTTAATCAAAAAATCATTCTTTAGTACTTGCATAAATTTTATAAGAAATCATTTTCACTTGTTCTAATTATATAATGTTTGTTACAGTTAGTTTATTTTCAATGGTATTATTTGCAAAACATATATCCAGTTAATATTTGATTTGTCTCCATAATATTCTTTAAAAACTAAATTTACTTAGTACCATGTTGACCTATCTTTTATCTGCTAATTATTGCAAATATTGTAAAACTATATTTTCACCATTCCATTCCTTACTTGAGCTTGTTTCATTGTCCTAGTCACACAAAATTTCATGATTAATAGTTGATTATTTTTCACTAATATTTCTTCAAATTCTCAATTTTTTCACCTTAGCATGGCATTAGTAAGTCTTTTATTGTCAAAATAATTTTTTTTTCAATAAAATTGATCTAAATTTAAATTTATAAAACTATCTTCATGTAAACTCAAGCCACAACACTGCAATTACAATTATACCTTTCCTAGTTAACTTCACTGTGACTTCCTTACTTCATTTTGCTAAGGGTTTCAGATTGGAGTGAAAAGCAAATAAGAAGAGGGTTTTTAGTATTAGATGTATTTTAACATTATTTTATTTTTTGAAATTACTTTTAATTGTTAATATTGATTAAAAAATTTAATGATTTGATTAAGAAGTTATTTTGTCCAATCAAATTTTAAATTTCTTTATCAAATATCAATTAACATTTAACGTAATTAGTATAGTTGGAGTTTATTAGAAATATTAATTTTAATTAAATTTATTGTTTATATACATTAATTTATATAATAAAATATGCAGTAATAATTAATATAAGTAAAAAAAAATGATATTAATTTATGAAAGCTGATATTGTTTTATTTAAAGTGACTATCATAAGTAATTATTTGATTAACTTCTTATCTTATTAATCAATGATAAGAAATATATTTTTATTATAATTAAAGTTTCATAATGAATTTTGATAGGATAAGTTACTAAAATAAAATATTATATTTGTATGAAGTTTTAAATCCTAAAATATCAAGCTAAATAGTTTAATTGAATTTAATAAAGTTTTATACCTATCATAACAAATAATTCTTAGAAATCAACCTAGGCATAATAACATAAATTCAAATTTACTAGATTTACTAAATGGTAATTAAGTTAAATACCACTTAAAGCTAAACGAGTATTTAAAGATTTCATATTAGTCTCTCGTGGAACTTACACAGTTTGATAGTACAAACACATATAAGTGGTATTTTACAGATGTATCACCAACTTATCATAAGGTCAAATGGGGAGAAAACTTGAAAGAGGAAAAAATATATATTGGATTTAGCAAAATTTCATATCAAAATTTACCTTTTCATTGTACTCATATACTCTTAGCTCCACTAAAAACCATAACAAATATAAGACTACACATGACCCATATAAACAAAACAAACCTAAGAATTTCTTAGTTAATTTGGTTCATGCATATAATTTACCCATACGTAGAATCTTTAGTCAAATCAGATGGGTGCCTTTCCATTCTTTTGTATGTGGTTCATATTTCCTTCTTCCTTTCAACTACCAAGTGTGTGGGCTATCAACCACTTTTGTTGCTTATAACACTAGCCCTACCATCATTAAATACATTTAGAAATAAGTAGAAAGTTTTTCAATAGTGATCAAAGTAGACACTTTTAGTGGTAATCCATCCAATTAAACAAGATATTATAGAAAAATGGTCTCATTGAAGTGAATTGTATAATATTAGAGGTTTGCTGTCAATATAAAAAGTTATGATTTTTTTCACAAGGCGATAAATAGGTTGCATGGAAAGAAGGCTTATTTTTGGGTTGTTTTGACAGGAGAGACATATAATATAATGAGAGAATGGTCTATGAGTTAGAATTTATAATCAACTATGCCAATTTGTTATAAAATACTATAGGGTCCAAAAAATCAACTATGAACTTTGGAAGAGGAGTGTCGATGAATGGAGATTTGGCATTTGTTATTACACCAAGGCGAGATCAACCACCAGAAATGTAATGTAACAATGAACTTGATCATCTTATTGCAATGAAATTTTTGGTAGTCTATAACTTGGCAAGCAACTACTGCATGATTTGGTGACAATTAGTCGTATGCTTTTGAACATGCATTGTTAGGGGCTGACAACCTTAAAATACAAAAAAAAATTATCATTTTAATTGAATTATAGTATGATACGTTGTAGGAGGATTTCAATTATGGCAGGAAGTGTAATCATGTGTCATGGGAGATTGCTTAAAACTTTGGATTGTGAATATTGCTTACAAGATTAATTATCAACTTCCTTTTAGTCATCCATTATAGGGTGATAGCTAGAATTATAAGTTGTGTAGTTTTAAATTTTCTAATAGTCTTTTTTCAAAAATGATTCATAAAGGTATGGTCATTGATAGAAATAAGTACTTTTAATATTTTATGCAACATTTTTTGATGAAAATTATTATGGGAGGGCTAAAAATAAAAGTATTATAGGAAAAAATAAATTACAATCATAATGGTTACTTTCATAATGATTTTGGCAAAAAATTGATGAAGTCAACTATGAAATCTTTCTAGGATGATGTGGGAGTTGGTAAGGGTTGTAAAAGGCTCACTAGTGCAAGCTATCCTTACTTTATTATATATTAGGTGTGTACAATGGAAGTTTGTCACATCAATTTTGAGACTTAAGTTTTTTATCTTGTAATACGGTGTAAAATATCCCTAATGCCTCCATAGCCTCCGATAATTATTGAATAATATGATTATGAGATGAGTTCCTTGGGATGATAAGTTGAAAAAACTACAGTACAAACACATGCGGAAGATACCCTTCTTAATGCATTAATTAGTAATGTTTATGGGGTTATCCACTCTAGCATGTCAACATGAGATGAAACTTTGGAGTGCAAGTCCATTTTATTGTATCTAGTCTAGAAAAGATTGTATGAGAGATGATATAACAATTAAAGTGTGCAATTTATTTTGTTCTCCTTAGGTTCATGCATTTGGGATAGGGTATCTTCTTCCTTATTTGATGGACTAGGTTTGTTCAACCTGAATGGTGTATTTAAGTAGTCCCATTTGTTGAAGAAAGTTTAACTGACTTGGATAGAAAGCATAATTCTTAATTTAATGGAGCCTCTAGAAGGTTCTACTTGGCTGTAAACTATAAATACTCATATATCAATATTTTAAACAAGGCTATTAGTTCATAAGATAAAGTATAGGTTATAGAAATTATTAAAATACTTATAAAAATCACCATTAAATTTTCAATCTTAGGTTTATAAGAAATTCACACAAGAATTTTTCTTGATAACAACTATAAGCTTTTTGAGTTTACATAAGCATGTGAGAGGGGGCAGTGGTTTATATTGACTATTAAAATTATTGAAAACTAGGTTTGGTCTCTTTTTTATATTTATCCTAGTGTCGCCAACTTATCTATTTTATCCTATTATGCTCCTTTCCAAATAATCTAATTTTATAAACTACCAAATAAAATAAAATAAAAAATTAGAAGGAGAAAATAAAACAAACTTAGACAAACAAAGAAAAGGAAAGTTTGAAGTTCTTATAAGATGGTCTTCATTAGATAGATCAAGAGCATAAATCAAAAAATAAATCAAACCAAATCACATCAAAAAATTATGAACAAAGAAAACCTATATAAATTTCCCACTAATATGACCAAAGAACAAATTTTTTTTTATATTTGTGGGGGCCAGATTCAATTCCCGAAGTTACATTTTTCTTTTGTTAATTACACCTTGGGAGATACTTGAGAAAACTTTTGAGTAGAAAATTGTTGCTTATATTTTGATATCTAGTATATGGGATTATCAAAGAATGGTGTTCATCACTCTGAAAGTGAAATCCTAATACTTCAAAGCCAAATTTGGTCATTAGGAAGAGGATGAATCGTAGCCTATCAACAAAAGGGCCTATGAAATGATGAAAAAATAATTATCAAAGTAGTAGAATAGACACAAAAATGATATTTCAAATGATAGAAAAGGAATTTCTATTACTAATAGGCATAACTTAATTGGGATTTCATGGATCCATCTTGTCGAGTCTTCAGTTTTTGGGGTCAATATCGTCATGAACGTTGTCTAGCCAACATATCACAGAATCCTTTGTGAACAACACTTGAACTACAAATTTAAGCAGATCATATAGACCCTAAAAGAAACAAAGCGACAATCTAAAAAAGATCTATTGGAGGACAAGTCTAATGTTGGTAGCCTCAAATACTTTTAAATTTAATTTTATTTAATTATTTTGTATATGATCCAAATTAAATCCTAAAATATTAAAAATATCTATTAATTATAATGTCTTTTAGCTTACAAATAATTACTTATTTTAATATATATATGGCCGTTGTCTCCAAAGTCACGAACCGATCGCTATCCGTTGATTGAGGACACGTGTCGGTTCTTACAAAAAGCTGACTTATGGATGTAGCTTTGAGTAAAAGGCACTGTAGTAGAGTTCCATCATGTACTATAACGTAGTAGAGTATTTTAGTATTGTACAGAAACTTGTGCAGGAGAGGGAGAGGGAGGAAAAAAATACCAGGACTTCATAAATTTTCAGCGGTAATCCAAGAATTCATGAACAGTGGTAATTAAGTTAATTACAATATGAAGACCAAGTCCTGTGACGATGGTGGGCTTATAAAATCCCCTAACACGGCTTTCTTCTTCCTCCAAGAGAGACTCCACCAAAAGCATCTTTCCACCTAAAGCTTGGTGAGGCTGAGTTCCGGAGCAAAGAAGATACGCACAGGTTTGTTCTCTAATCTCTTCTCCTCCTCCATACCTTCTTCGTCTTTTGTTTGTAATCTTCTTTCTACTTTGAGAAAGAAAGGCAACCAGCTGTTTTTTGAAACTTGGTTAGCTCTTTATTTCTCTTCCTGAGATCCCAGAAGAGTCGTGTATAGATCTAGACTTTATTTTATTTATTTTCTTTCTTTTGTTTTCCACTTGTAGTGGCTTTCAAGCAGGGTTTATATTTTTGCATAACCCTCAAGTTCTTTTTTTTTTTTTCGTTGTAGATCTAAAAAGGCCACCTTTTTAGTGCCTTAGTTGATTTTTCATCCTTTTCTTGTTAGATCTATACTTCTTTCTTTCTTTTTTATCGATTAGTTTCTCTTCTTCTCTGTTTTTTCCATGGCTGCAGCTATAAATTTACAGAATAGCTGGCCTTTTTACTCTTCTGATTCTTCTGGTGAGGAGCTTATGCAAGCACTCGAACCTTTTATCAAACGTGCTCCCTCCTCCTCATCTTCTTCTTCTCCTTCTCCGTCTCCCTCTTTGTCATATTCTCCTACTCAAGCCCCCACCTTTTCGTCTTCCCCTTCTTCTTCCTCCTTTTACTCTCCATTTCATTCTTCACTCTTCTCTCAAAATTCCGTCTTGGATTTCCCCTCATCATCGATCGGGCTCACTCACCTCAACTCTGATCAAATTCAACAAATCCAATCCCAATTCTATCTCCAACAGCAGCATCAGATGCAACATCCTATCCTGCCTGATAACATCCAGAGCCTTCCACCTCCCCTGCCTCAGCGACAGAGCTTCCTCAGCCCACGGCCTGCGGCCATGAAACACACTGCTGCCACGGCTTCAAAGCCCTTGAAGCTTTTCCGTGGTGTGCGGCAGCGTCACTGGGGCAAGTGGGTGGCCGAGATCCGGCTGCCCCGCAACCGCACTCGACTCTGGCTTGGAACCTTCGACACCGCAGAGGAGGCAGCTATGGCTTATGACAAAGCCGCCTACCGTCTCCGCGGTGACTCCGCCAGGCTGAACTTCCCCAATCTCCGGCAAAACGGCTCGCACCTCGGCTCCCCTCTCCACGCCTCCATAGACGCAAAGCTACAGGTTATCTGTGAGGAACTTTCGAAAGCTCCGGCGAAACAAGGGAGAGGTGCTGCATCGAAGCAAATTTTGTTGCAAAAATCTGATCTTGATATTCCTGTGGTTGCGGAGAACAAACCGGAAAGCTCCGTGGAAGAGACAGAGCTGTCGTTCTCATCATCTTCCTCTTCATCTCAGGCATCATCTCCGGTGTCTGAGATGGATCAGTTGGACTTCACTGAGGCGCCATGGGATGAATCCGAGAACTTTGTGCTGAGAAAGTATCCTTCGTGGGAGATTGATTGGGATTCCATACTCTCCTGAAAATAACAAAAAAATGTAGTCTCCTTCCGTTGTGTTTATTTGCCCGTTGCAAGTGAGGTTTTTGACATTTGCTGGGGCGTAGGTCTTGAATGAATTCCTAGGCTAACAACTTTGTTCAGAAACCATTTTTAGGATGTTTTGTAGATGTTGATTGTGTTTGCTGTTGTTCATATTTCTCCAGGTTTTGCTGGTTATTTTTTCGCTCAGCAGAATCTGGAAGTGCCGGTTTGTTATTGTGTAATATTATCTGTGCAATAACATATGTGTAATCTATTATTTAGTTTTATTATATATCAGATTGTACTCACGGTTTGAGATGTTTAGTTAAACTTGATGTTAATTGAACTAATAAATAGAATTTCATATCATAATTTCTGTTGATAAAGATAAATCATAATGGAGGTTTGTTAGAGCTGTTATGATGGTATCCTACCTGAACATATTCTGAAGAGGGTCAATAATGCAATAAATAATTTAGCGAACATAAATAATGAATAGTTTACTTGCAATTAATTATTTTTTTTAGAATTAACGAGGACATTGAAATCAATTGAGACCTGAAGTTCCAGTCCAATCCGATTCTCTGGCCTATCTCCGACTAAAGTGCATCTTCTAGCTAAAAATTTCAGAGAAAAAACATCCTTGCTCCTACTGAAACTCAAAACTTTCATCTTCTTTATAACTTTAATGGCAGCCTAGTTCTCTACGAACCTTATCTGCAATAGACATTTCCAGACTTGATACTATTTGGCAGCTAGTTGAAAATTTCATAGTTGTAAATTGATCTAATTGTTTTTATTATTGCAGCAGATTTCCCTCTAGGTCTTTATTGAGGGAATGGGAGAGAAAAACGAGACTAGAAATTAAGACTATTTGTGACGCTTATAGTGATGTGTTATGTTAATGAATGAAATAAAATTTTCAGTCTCGTTAAACTATGAACTGCTGCCATCCTGAGATTTAAGTAAAACAATATTTCATAATACAAGACCGCATTTCGCAACTCACTCACAGGAGAAAATATATTACATCCGGAGTCTAATAATAGGGTGTCAATATTTCATAATACAAGACCGCATTTCGCAACTCCCTCACAGGAGAAAATATATTACATCCGGATCTCGGATGCATCCGGAGTCTAATAATAAGGTGCCACGTGTCAATGAGATGCACAGTTTCTTAACATTCCCCGGTGTATTGCGGTGGGAACCACTTGACATGTGGCGTCCTATTATTGGACTCCGGATGTAATATTTTTTACTCGTGAAGATTTCAACTTCAATCTCACTAGAAACAAGATGTGGGATGAATTGAAAATTTTAGTATTGATTTATTAATTATTAATTATAAAATATTAACCCTTGGGCTGGAAGATTTCAACATTAACTTAACAAAAAAGAAAATCTAATGAATTGATAAATTCAAAATTAATTCATTAAATAGAAATTTGTAAATATCCATCCTCAGTAATAGAAGATTTCATCGTTGGCCAATAAAAATTAGAATGGAGTGAATTAATAAATTTAAATTAAATTCTATCATTATTAAATAATTAAAAAAATTAATGCCATAAAATTCATTTTGACTATAAAAATCCATTGAAATTGAAATTAATTAAATATTAATTAATGTAATGAATCATCTAACAATATCAAATTGTTGAAAACAAAAATGATAACTATAACATGGACTTCACTATTAATAATATGAAGATTGATAATCAATGCAATTAAATATTAAACCATTCCTAATATAAATAAGATTTAGCACTTATTGGTAGATCTAATCTAAGTAGTATATTTTTAAAAATTGTTGATATTATACAACAGTTATCATCATAACAAAAGGAATATTACAAATGAATAGAGCATATATAGCCTATAACATGTGTCAAGGAAAACAATGACATTGAAAAAAGCTATATTCATTCCTAAGACATTTAAGTGATTCAGAACATTTGAAGACCTGACATGTCAATCATAATCATATTC